CTAACAAGTGTATTTTAAAACTTAACAGATCATAACAGCCAGTTTAAAACAAGAAATATAAAATGTTTTATATACATGTTTAAACCCAGTATCCCAGTTTCTCTTTCTGTTCATATACTAAACATAAAAAATAAGCTTATATATTTCCACAATTCCTAGATGATAACTCATATTTTTAAAATAATGCAACATGAGAATGGGAGAGAGGATTCTTCTGTGCCAACACAAAACCTTGTAGTTTAAAAATTGGATTATCACTTAATAATCCCAAAGGAATATAAATACTGAAGACTTCACCAATTCTCTTGTATTACTCTATATTCATGCGCAGCAATCCAACTTCTTTAGCCATTAAATATTAAATGAGGATTACACAAAATGAGAATAAAAAGGACACGCCTAATATGCAATTCTAAAATAGTCATTACGCTTAGTTTTATAAACAAAATAGGAAGCTATAATTCACAAACTTTGATGTTGGTCTTTTCAATTTACAGTTATCCTCATATAAATTTTAACAAACCTAAACTATTTTTTCTTTATTAAGGTACCATTGATATACCATCTTATGCTCAGGTTTCACATGAGCAACATTGTGGGTACCATATTCCCTTCTATTATCAAGTCCCCACTACATACCCCATTAAGTCACTGTCCATCAGCATAGTAAGATGCTACAGAGCCAGTACTTGTCTTCTCTGTTGCACAGCCCTCCCCGTGACCCCCTATATAATGTGCACTTATCATAATATCCCTTAATCCCCTTATCACCCCCCTTCCCACCCACCCTCCCCAGTCCCTTTCCCTTTGGTAACTGTGAGTCCACTCTTGGGTTCTGTGAGTCTGCTGCTGTTTTGCTCCTTCGGTTTTTGCTTTGTTCTTATACTCCACAGATGAGTGAAATCACTTGATACTTGTCTTTCTCCATCCTGTTCATTTCACCGAGCATAATACCCTCTAGCTCCATCCTTGTTGTTGCAAATGGTAGGATTTGTTTTCTTCTTATGGCTGAATAATATTCCATTGTGTATATATACCACCTCTTCTTTATCCATTCATCTACTGATGGACACTTAAGTTGCTTCTATTTCTTGGCTATTGTAAATAGTGCTGCAATAAACTTAGGGGTGCATATGTCTTTTTGAATCTGGGATCCTGACAAACCAAAAACTATTACATAAATTCTGATTTAAGATCAGATATATAAGAGAGACACCTAAATATGTCATAAAATCAGAAAGTATAATTATTGCTGGGAAAATCCTTCTTTGGGATTTTTGGAACTAAGGCATCAAAAGCATTAATGTCATACTTTTCTCAAAAATAGAGCAATTTGAGATTTATTACCTTTGATAAATAAAATCTATAAATAATTTGTTAATTTAAAAGTTTTTAATGTAAAAAAATTTAATTTCACTTCATATAATGAAAATGTTACTACAAGCTTTGGTATATACCCATAGCATACGGATATGCATTACTAGGGTATAAGCAAAGAAGGAAAATACATTAAGAAAATATTTCAATTCTGCATATGTCAGAATTTAAACAATGATAACAAAAAATTTCCAAATCATTAAATGTATGGAATGAAAATACGTAGGGTGACTCCCCTCTCCCTACTGGAAAAACATCTGTTGAGCCATCGTCACTGCACACCTCGGAGTCCCCAGTCTCCGCAAAGAATGAAATAAAGCTGGCTTGACCTTGGTTGATAAAAAGGCTTCTTCACTGCACACCTCGGAGTCCCCAGTCTCCGCAAAGAATGAAATAAAGCTGGCTTGACCTTGGTTGATAAAAAGGCTTAAAATATTTTTCAGACCTTAAAATTTTCAAAACCAAAATACAATTTCCATAACTAAAGAAGCAGCTGTATAAACTTTCAAAGTCAGCCATGTTAAAAGCCAAGACTTCTAAGGTTACCAGAAGCACCTCCCTCCACCTACTGCAGTTACAACTTCAGCAGCTCCTGAGCACAGACACAGCTGCTCATGCATTTCTAGACCTAGACTTTGCATTTCTTCCAAAGGGAAAATTGTGACTAAGTGCCAACATCTTAGGAGACTATTAGGAGATGTCCCAGAGATCAACAGAAGCTCGCACCATGAATGTGAAGGACACAGTAGAACCAGGAGAAAACTTAAAGGAGAGATTAGTGATCTAGGAGCTGCAATGCACAACAAGGGTATTTATGAGCCCCATTCTCCTGTTGCCTCAAAAACAGGGAGAAGGCGTGAGAAGGATTCAGACATCCTGCGAAGGTCTTGCATGCTTCGTTTTGAATGTCATAATGTTACAGACTTATTATAGTGTCTGTTAAAAAAGAGATCTAGTTCTTAAAATTCTGGAGTGATACCAGCATATGGTTTTGTAGTAGAGTAATTCTTGCTGTCACCTCATATAAGATTACGTCATTAATTATTCACGAAGAAACATAACTGTGTATTTTTCTTTTTAGAGAAGAGAGATTGTTTAATTTATGCTAAGGTCGTGAATTTAACCAAACTGCAAATATGTTCTGTGGTCCATGTCTGAAGAAATGATATATCTGTCTGTCTTTCTCTATTTCTCTCTATATATATACATCTCTACCATCTTTTGGTGCTTGTGGTTAAAAAGACCAATGGGAACACAACAATATTTTTTCTATACTTAGCATATGTAAAGATGGGTTTTGGTCAAATACAGTTTTAAGAATTTGTTTATTCAACAAATTCATTATATATCTATATTCTTCTATGTATTTGGAATGTAAAATCATGATGTTTATGAAGAACTTGCAGACAAATATGGCCAACATCCAAAAGACAAGGAACAACAAATGCTGGTGAGGAAGTGGAGAAAGGGGAACCCTCCTACACTGTTGGTGGGAATGTAAATTAGTTCAACCACTGTGGAAGCAATCTGGAGGTTTATCCAAAAACTGAAAGAAGAAATACCATTTGACCCAGGAATTCCACTCCTAGGAATTTACCCAAAGAAAACAAGACCTCAGATTCAAAAAGACATATGCATCTCTATGTTTATCACAGCACTGTTTACAATAGCCAAGATATGGAAGCTACCTAAGTGTCCATCAGTAGATGAATGGATAAAGAAGATGTGGTACATATACACAATGGAATACTATTCAGCCATTAAAAGAAAACAAATACTACCATTTCCAACAACATGGATGGAGCTGGAGGGTATGCTCAGTGAAATAAGCCAGGCAGAGAAAGACAAGTTCCAAATGATTTCACTCATTTGTGGAGTATAACCACAAAGCAAAACTGAAGGAACAAAATAGCAACAGATTCACAGACTCCAAGAAGGGACTAGCAGTTACCAAAGGAGAGGGGTTGGAGAGGATAAGTGAGGAGGGAGGGAGAAGTGGATTGAGGGGCATTATGATTGGCACACATGGTGTGTGGGGGTAATGGGAAGATAGTGTGACACAGAGAAGAAAAGTAGTGGCTCTGTGGCATTTTGCTACACTGATGGACAGTGACTGTGGTGGGGTGTGAAGGGGGACTCGATTATATGGGTGAATGTAGTGAACACAATGTTGCTTATGTGAAATCTTCGTAAGATTAGTGTCAATGACACCTTAATAAAAATTAATTAATTAATTTTTAAAAAGAGAAAAGTTAACTGGGCCATGCTAGAATGTTTAGATTTTGTCCTGGTGGCAACTGAGGAGCCTCCAATGTTTTTGTTTTTAGTTTTTCATTTTGGAAAAATTTTAAGTCAAAGAATAGTATATAATAAATACCTATTTTCCATCACCTATAATCACCAATGTTAGTTAGACATACTGATACTTTGCCTCTAAATCCTTTTGTATATATCTCCTAAGAATAAGAATATTCTTCTATAACCACAATACCATTCTCACACCCAATAAATTGAACACTTACACAATCTTATTAACTATTATTATACAGTCCATATTCAAATTTTCTAATAACCCAATAATTTCCTTTGTGGCTATTTTTCCCCATCCAAGATCCAATCAAGGATCACACATTGCATTTAATTGTGAAATCTCCTCCAATCTAGAATAATCCCTCTGCCCTCTTATTTTCTTTTTTCTTTCATGACATTGACACTTTAAGAATCGAGGCTAACAGTATGCAGAAGTTTCTACCAGCTGGATTTGTCTAGTTGTTTGCTAGTGATTAGATTCACACTAACCATTTCAGGCAAAAGCACTATACAGGTCATGTTTTGTTCTTCCCATTGCATTACATCAAAAGCAAGTCAGTTTTTAAGCACAGATTTTCAAAGCATAGAAACAGTTTCCTCATTAAATCTATATGGCAGCAGTGTCAACATGTAGATTTTTTTACCAAATATTCCCAGTAAACTAGATAGAAAAAGAATTTGTGTCCTCTCTCTCTCTCCTTAGATGTTTTTGACATGATGTTCTTATTCTCCTAATATATATGGAATAACATAGTAATCACTTTTACTTTGATTAGTCTCATGACTATGTCAATTAATGATGGCATACGCATTAACTGAAATAATTTGGTTGCAGGCATGCACTCACTAACACATGATTCCAAATACAATGTTAACATACTGTATAATAAAAATAGAAATATTAAGTTATTAAATTCACAGAATTATCTTTGGCTTTGCTAGCACACAAAAACATTAACATAGTCGATTTTTAGTTAAAGCATTATTCTTATTCCAAATGCTACTTAGAATTTTTGGCTTCAAACAACACCTAACATGTCTTATAAAGGTATACACTAATGGAGAATCTACTTTTTCTTAAAGAAATTAAAATCAGGACAATGATGAGTAAATAGGATTATCTTCCTTAAGAACATAAACTGAACTAGGGATTCCAAAATTTGTGGTTGAAAAAAAGTACTTATATGCTTACCTTATAGTATAGTATACATATATATTTAATATGTTAAATAATACATTTTGTGGTACATACCTTTATGTAAAACTAGTAGATAAATTCTAAGATCCTTAAGAAGTTAGTAAAGAAGTCATACCTGTGTAAAAATATTATGTGTTTGGCTTAAAATCCACCTGGCATCAGCATCAGGTGCTACTACTAATTTCAAGGTCCCAACATAAACGTCAGAACATAAGGTCCAGAAGTGCTGTTCTTGTAAATTGTAAACTCCTTGTAACTGCTGCACCTAAAATATAAAGGGAGTTATTAATATCATCATCAAGTATAGCACCCCTCCACTGCAATTATTATGCAACATATCAGTAAACATGATCTACCCTCTAGTTTAAAATAAGAGGTTGGAGCTATTTGAATTATTAACAAATATCTATTAAGCACTCATTATGCATCAGGTACCGTATCAGGTGTTCAGGAAATACGCACGAACACATATCAAAATTCACAGGGCACAGATGAGAGAGCCCTGAGAGGAAAATTCACATTTTCAAATATAGCAATCAGAGAAAAAGTATGAACACAAATGAGCTAAGAACTAGAAGAAGAACAATAAACTCAAAGAAATAAGAAAGAAGGAAATAAAAGATAAAAACCAATGATTCATAATTAAAATACTAATGGCATTTTTCATAGAATTAGGACAAATAATCCTAAAATTTGTATGCAACCACCAAAGAGCCTGAATAGTAATCTTGAGAAAGAAAAACAAAGCTGGAGGTATCACACCTCCTGACTTCAAACTATGTTACAAAGCTACAGTAATCAAAACAGTATGATACCGGAACAAAAATAAACACATAGATTAATAGAATAGTACATACAGCCCAGGAAGAAACCCATACTTACATGGTCAACTAATCTACAACAAAAGAGGCAAGAGTCTTTTCAATAAATGGTGTTGGGAAAACTGGACAACTACATGCAAAAGAATGAAACAAAACCCTTTCTTACACCAACAAAAAAATTAAACTAAAAATGGATTAAGGACCTAAATGTAACACCTGATATCATAAAACTCCTAAAAGAAAACATAGTAAGTTCTTGGACAGTGGCCCTAGCAATTTTTTTCTGGATATGTCTCCCTAGGCAAGGGAAACAAAAGCAAAAATAAACACGTGGGATTACATCAAACTAAAAGGTCTTTGCACAGCAAAGGAAACTGTCAACAAAATGAAAAGGCAACCTACTGAATGGGAGAAGACATTTGCAAATGATATATCCAAAAAACAGATAATACAATTTATAAAAATCTAAAAAGCAAAACAAATGAACAAACAAGCAACAAGACAAAACAAACTCAGAAACAGACTCATAAATTCAGAGAACAACTGGTGGTTGTCAGATAAGCGAGGACAGGTGAAATAGGTGAAGGGAATCAAGAGGAAGTTTATAACAAACTTCCAGTTATAAAATAAATTAGTCATGGCAATTACAACTATAGCATAGTGAATACAGTCAATAATATTGTAATAACTTTGTACGCGACAGATGGTAGGCAGATGTCAAATCCCTATCTTGTACCCCTGAAACTAAAATATTACATCAAATATTACAAATTTCTTTTTAAAAATTCAATGATCCAGAGATTTAGAAACTGATAAAATTAAAAAATATCAAAACATTTCTTTGAAAACATTAATGAACTAAGGAGTCAGTGTTTCTTAATGGGACATATTTTAGACAGGACAATTCTTCACTGTGTCAGAAACTACAGGATCTTTTGCATCCCCAGGCTACAGGGAATTAAATTTCAACATACACCATATCTGAATCATATGTCAACAAAAATGGGAGGATGTCTCTAAGCTTTTCCAGTGGGTCCTTAAGGTTTCCACAGCCTTAAGTTGAGAACCACTGGCAAGACACATGCTGATGGAGGTTACACACACACACACAATGAAAAGAACTTCAAACAGCAGATTCAAAACACCCTAAGAAGGGAATACTATCAGCATGTGAATATTCAAAATGTTACAGCTAAGTAGAATCCAAACACTTCTCAATGTCTCTGTGGCTATCAGCCTAGTTGAAGACAGCATTAACTCTAGTCTGGATTGTTGTAATAGCCTATTAACTGGTCTGTTTCCAGCCTCTTCCATCTACTCTCAACAAAGTAACCCGAGCAAGATCCTGTTACTTTAGGTCAGATGCTTCGAGTCCACTTTTCAGTACCCTCCAACAGCTTCCCATATCACTCTGACTAAAAACCAGTGCTTTCACAATGATTTACATGGACCCATGTCATGTGCCCCCCTTGTCACCTTATTTACCTCATTCCCACTACATTTCCCCTTGCCACCTCTTCCTCAGCTACTCCAGCCTTCTCACCATTCTTTGAAAAGTCAGGCACACTTCTGTCTCAGAGTAGCTGCCATTCCCTCTGCCTAGAGTGTAACTTCCTT